TTTAGAAGTGAGACAATTTGTGATGAACCTGTTAAATGGCGAACAGTTAGACCAAGACACAATGATTCAGGGGTCTGCCTCTGGCCCTGTGTGGCGCGTTACTCGGCCGCATCCAATTGTTTGTTTGTTTTTTTGTCAATGAGACGTTATCCAACAGTATGTGCTTGCACAACCGGAGGCTGCAGTTTCAGGACCCCAGTTTCAGGACCCTAGTTTATTGTGACAGCGCCATCTACCAAACTGGAATGATATAGCGGCGGTTGCAGTTTCAGGACCGCAGTTCTAGGAACCAGGTGGTTTAGTTTGTACATAGTATCAACATATTTAATCTCAGGTGTATTCTTTTTTTTAATTAAATGTGTTTTTTCTTTTAAATTCAAAATGCATCAGAGGTTAATTACAAAGTGTGTACACAAAGTGACTCACAATTTTAAATTTAAACCAATTAATCCTTAAAGGGGTGATGAACTGAGAAATCAAATTTTCCTTGAGCTTTTGACATCTAAGAGGTCATCATATTATAAGAATATCCTGTAAGTTTCAGAACTTAAAACGTCCTTGTTAGTCCAATAAAAGCTTTTATTGACACAGCCTCTAAAAATGACTCGTTTTTAAAAGTGGGCAACTATGACGACAAAGAGGATAAAACACCACCCCCGCAGAAGATGATCAACGCCTGCTTCACCACGGCAGGTTTAGCCCCGCCCACCGATTCGCGCATTACACACATAAGTATCATACATGTACATGCTTACCTCGTGATGACAAACTGGATCACTACCGAGCAATACAGAATATTGTGCAGTGCCTGGTTGTGCAAGACAGTCGCTGCATAAGCTTCCTGTGGATTCCAATAGGCCTGCATGGATAAAATTTATTCTTAATGACGTTCCAGCTGATGAGGTAAAACATCGTCGTCTGTTCGCTTCATTTCACTGAGGATTGTTTTGTCAACAAGACTGGATTTGCAGACCGATTAAGAGTAAAGAACGGTGCTGTGCCGTCTATATTGGATCTGACAGGAATATTGTGCAATACACGGACTGTGGGTTGAACATGTATGGGCGAATCCGGTTGCCATTTGACAACATAGGACGTTTTCCCCCATGCACCGACGACGGGTGAGTTAAACTCATTATAATATGCAAAACTGTTCTCCACTCGCAGCAGTGGGTGTTTACTTCCAAGTCTTCAGTGCGACACGCCCATAAAAACCGACTGTTTTTTAGGTAGGCTCACAACCAGGGTACAAAATAGCCTATTACTTGTTCATTTTGATGTTTTTGAATGCAAAAACCAAGCGAACGTTATAAGTTGACCTCAGACAACAATATAATAACATTTAAAAAGCCAGTTCATGACCCCTTTACTATTTTACCACTACTGAACAGCAAGCCATTATACAGGGGTCCATACACAAGCAGTGCTAGTATGCAGTTTATACAGTAGCCTACATTTCGTAAGTGCAGGAGCAGGACACAAAAACACATTACATGGTTCGGCATACCTCTGGAAAAAGAACACCACAGATAAACTGCACTTCATCTCAAGCTCAACTGTGTTGGTGTCCAATCCAGCAGTCCTCTCAGATATGAGAACAAGATGTCCTGTTGTTCCTCGCTGTCGAGGTAGACAGGCACCTGAGAAGAGCTTACCTTATTTAAGTAAGTAAGTAACCACTTTGAGGGCTTCCTGAGTTTCAGTTGAGTACACCCTGCGAAGTCCCAGTCCAACTCTCTCTCTCTTGCTCTCTCATTCCCGCCGGTTATATGCGGTCTCTCCAAGGCAATTACTGCAATCAGACACAGGTGTGATCTAGGGTGGCCATACGTCCGGATTTTGGCCGGACAGTCCGGATTTTAAGCTCCGTGTCCGGCGTCCGACGCAGCCTCAAGCCGGACACTCATTTGTCCTCCTTTTTGGAGTTGATCTGAATCGGCCACAAAAAAAAAAACGCTCTACAATCTTTATTGAGACGCAGCATAGCGTCTAATGCCGTAGATCTCTAGTCAAACACATGATTGCAGGGTTGCCAACTCTCACGCATTGAGCGTGAGTTTCACGCAAAATTGAGCCAATTCTCACGCTCTCACGCCACACCCCCGATTTCTCACGCTGAAGTGTGAATCCGGCCGGTCAAATCCCTGAAAGATGAGTTTATCTATAGATCTACCTGATGAGCCACTCGTGATCGACTAGTTTTACCGCAAATTAGTTAAAAAATACACTAATCTAGAGTTTAGCTCCTAACGGCACGGACGCAAAGCCAGGACTGGAGCAAAAGCCCGTTCCTCTCTGCACTCTAGTCATAGTGTTCTGTTATCACTCCGCTCTAATCCACTACGGGTTTTCCAGTCTCACTCACAGGAAAAAACTGCTCCGTGTTCAATATAATTTAAAAAAGATAATCTTATGTTTTATTTTTTATATATCACAAACGTCTGAATTTATAATACTATATGTAATGCTCTGGAATTCTACATGTTTAATAAATGTTCCAACTGCTTACACAAGGAAACAGTATGGGAAAGCGCACCCAGGTAAAAATAAGAATTTGACAAATTCTACAAACAATCTTAGTTGCCAACAGTTAATAGTATATATATATATATATATATATATATATATATATATATATATATAATAGAATTATAGATGCAGCACGCGCACGACGGCAGAGAGGTAATGCAGCACGCGCATGACGCAAACCCCCAAATGTTGATTTTATGAATGGGAATATGAATATTATATGAAATATGAATATGTATTGGGTTTAAAACCATACCCCCCCCCTCCTTTTCAGTGTTATGGAAATGGCCGACGGCGGACGGATTATGAGTTTTGTGATGCGGTTGCGGATGAAAAAATAGCCCATCCGTGCATCTCTAGTGCAGACATTGGACTAATGTTTACCTGTTGTCCCAAAAAGAGGCCACCTTATTGGTCAAGCGGGAAGCACATGATGATTGTTCCGCGAAGCCTCATCACTGATGATCAAAATATGATTACGCGAAGAAAGAACTATTGTCGACTTTAAACCGTAATAAAAAATAAACTGCAGGATTACACATGGACAACTTTTATTTTCTTTCCCAGAAACAATAGATCTTTTTATTAGAATTAAAAAAATTTAATGCCCCATATATGGGAACGGGATTAAACGTAAAACGTCTTCACCTTACGGCCTATAATTACATTTTGATCATACCATGTTTTCGTAGTAAACAATTCCAATGGTAAATATTGCATATCCTGTTGGCTGATATTCTACTGTAATACACACAACACCAAAGTTGTTTTTATAGTAAGCATGTGGCAACCACTGAGTTTAAAAACCTGCTTAACAGGATTTACTATTTTGGTGTAGAAAAGCTGGTTCTTTAAATTGCAGTGTGAAATAAATTTTACATACTTGGAGAGGGCCATGCTCCTGAAGTTCATGAACTTCTGAAGTTCATGTATGCTATCTGCAGCACAAAAGGATTCATGCAAGATGCTTCAATCCCTAGATGGAGTGTGCCTTGTTCAACATGTGCACGCCGAACGCCCCGTGACACCCCACGGAACATACAAAGGATCGCCGCTCACGCATGAGGCCACGTGTTCACGTCTAGAGCTAGGGAATCCCGATTCTTGTTGAGATCAAAGGGTAGGGTGAAGGTGTAGGGCTACATAGCCCTCGAAACTGAGATTTTTCAGAGGTACACTCCAAACGGAGGGCTACGAGAAAGTTTACAGAATGCATCGCAAATCACTGGCAAGATGGCTTCGCAAGCAGATAAACATTTAAAATTAGTGTCAGATGATTCCACCACGCACTTTATTTACTATTATAATAACACTATAGTCATTTAAATTAAGAAATTGTATAATAAATTATCTTTCCTATCAGAAAAGACATGTTTCGAGGAAGGAAAGTTATAATCATCATGTTTATTCAAAGTTAAGAGCAGCTGCGCTGATTGTCAGTTGTTGTCATGGAGAAATCCTGTAAAAACTCTGTAACGGCAGAGCCATCGCGATGACTGATGACGTATCGGGTTCATGAAGGGCTGTTCCATTTCGTAGGGGAATATTTCAACCCCTTGTTTAAAGGGCAAAGGGGTACACTCGAAAACAAGGGATAGGGCCAAGGGCTGAATTGGGATTGAGCCTTAGTCTACTTATGCTGCGTTCAAGTCATCTTGTTTAGATCGTAATTACAAGTTGAACGCACTTGAATGCCACCACAGTGTCGTAAATACCAGTGGGGAGCTCGGGATTTTCTTTAAGCCCCAATCTGTACGAGTTGGGGGCGTGTCAGTGAAAAACGTTCATTCAACGTCTGTTGACGGTAAATTCACGTCGCACCTCGCGTCGTAAACACGACTTCCCACCTCGCACGTACAAACTTCCCAGGACTTGAACACAGCAAGTCTGGAAGTTTAATCATTTTTTTTTTTAAAGTTTTTTTTTTTGTTTCTTGACATTTATTATTGTAAGTTTTTATTATTATTGCATTAAATTTTTTAAAGTTTGAGATTCACTGTTGTTGCTTCTTTCTCTATAGTCTAAAACTCTCAGCCTGTTATTTAAAGTTAAATGAATTTTTGAAAATTAATTTTGATTGTTTATTGTCGTTTATATTTGTATTACAGTGAGATGTTGTTTTTGCTTCATTGGTAGCTAGTAGACAAATATTGGAAATCCCCATGCAATCCAATTATCTTGGTTGGGACTTAATGTTCTTTCTACTCCTACAAAAAAAACCCCTCCATTAGAGACTGTTAACTCGTTTTATAAAATGTGGAACCGTCCTTTCCCCTTTTTTTTGAACGGCCCCTTCATTTGAGATTTGAGTCCTTAAATAAACAAATAAAAATATATAGTATTTGTCTTTCCTTTACTTTTCTCAGTTTTTGTGTGATATCTGGGATGAGTAGGGAGTTGTTCTGGTTATTTGTATTTTTATTTTTTTTTTCCACATTTATATCTAACGTATTTGGATCTTTTAAGAATAGACTTTTATTTTGGTTTGGTGGTGTGACGTCATAAGTATGCGCCACGCTCCTTCATTTGCTGCGGTCTGAAGAAAGGTTTGTGGTTTACAGCGTTTTAAAGTGTTCGATACAAACCACGCAGACTGTTTTATAGCTATATGTGAATTATGAAATTAGTTATATATCGCTGAATGTTAGGTTATTATGTTTGAAACGAATCGTAAAGCGCAGTAGTGACAGAGAAACTGGTAGAGCCTTTGGGAAATCATATAAGCTGAATTAAATGCCTCCCGAAATGATTCAGTGATTCGAATTAAGCGCTCGAATCTCCGCGTCGAACGAACATAAACGTGTAATGAAAACCAACAGCGAATATTTAAGTAAAAGTGCAGTCTGTGATCAACATTTTTAAATGCCAGACAAACAAAGTCTAAGCAATAGAATCATAGTATTGATAGGCTATTTGTATCTATGTCAATATAATTTGTGCTCTTTTATATATTACTCGTTTTGAGTTAATTACTTCTGGCTAATGTGGCTAAGTCCACTAAGTCTCACTCTGACTGACTTTTACCAGTGCACTGAACTACTGAACTAGAGCTGATTGAGACTCACACTGAGATAGTTTAATTTTTTATGAATCATTCTCATTTTATACATGACAGACAGATTGTCCGAACACAGAAACAACTCCTGGTGACCTGACTGAGATCCATCAGTGACACTAAAGATGGCGTTTATTCAAGTGGAAAATGGGGACATGGAGACTGTAGAAACATTCAGAGTGAAAGAAGAAGAAACTGAGGAACAAACAGGTTGGTTTCATTCTTAAACCTGTCTTTTGATCCTTATTAAAATGTCCATCTCTACAAAAATTAGTGATAGTAGATAAAAGTGATAGAAATACTTAAATTTTTTTTAGGGATAGTTTTGAAGTGTCCTAATTAAAGTGTTATTATTTGACACGGGTCCCTCATGTGGACAGACATGTATTTTTTTCGCACACTTAAAGGTACAATATGCAATATTGTTTTGCCACCAGGTGTCTCTAACCTCTTACAATAACAAAGGTGTATTTTAATGATGTATATTCTGCATTAAGCGGAATTCTGGATCTTGTCGTCAAGCTGATGGATCTTTTATTGGATGAGTGAATATATTGATGTTTTGATGACTGTGGAATGAAGCAGGACGCGATTGCTAGACATATACCAGCACCACACGCAACGCGAGTCCCGCGGATATACAGGAATAAGGACATTTAATTCTACCGAACTACATGCTGAATTACTCGCACAGATCAGTTTATTAGAGGAATTAAACTTGAAGTAACACAGTGCTGCTTCAATTGCTTTAACAGTTTCACTTTAGGGGTCGACCGATATGCACTTTTCAGGACCGATACCGATTATTATAGGTAAAGTAGACCGATAACCGATATATGTATTGTGAAAAAATGAAAATTTATGTTAAAAATTAAGAATAAAAAAGGCCTCAGACAAAGTCTCTTTAAGTTCTTTTAACCATATTTTTAATTCTGAGTACTGTTAATAATAAGAACATTAATATTAATAACAACAACATAAAAAGTGCAGGAACCATCCATTCTTTTAAGTTTTACAAAATTTTGTACAGAAGTCAATTTAAAGAACAACAAGCTACAAATGAACAAATAATGGAAAAATAAATGTAATAGCTCCCTGAAGTTTTATAATATAAATTCAAATGGGTAACAATTAGTAGTCCCAATCCAATAGCACCAGGTTGTGGTGGAGGAAGCAGAGCTGCTCAGCATGCTCTCCAGTTAGTTTGCTTCTTCTTTTGTCATAAATTGCAGACACTTTGCTGAAGACACGCTCACTAGGGACTGATGAGGGTGGTGAGCAAAGAAATTTTCTTTCTTCTTTGGCAAGTAACTTGAAGCGCCCTTTATTCTGTCTCCACCACTGGAGTGGATCCCCCTTACGCCGGTCAATCACTGGCTCTTTGAGGTACTGATGTAACTCATCTTCAATGCTGTCCTTGGCTGACAGATTACCAGTATGAGGGCCAAGAAGAGAACTGAAGATCTTGTCTATTTGGCTATGGCAGGGTGTCTCTTCTCTCCTTTGCCTTTTAGAGGCTTGGTCTTCTGCAGCAGGCTCCTCTCCATCAGCCTGCTGCTGTTCTTGATTGGCTCTCTCTGTTTCAGCCTGCCCTTGAAGAGCACCTTCTACATCATCTTTAAGCCATACTTTGGCCCTGTTTAGTGTAGAGGCAGAGGAGAATGCATGACTCTTGAAGCGTGGATGGCCGATACGATAATCATAAAAATGCTTAATATCGGCGTCGATAATCGGCCGACCTCTATTTCACTTTCACACTAAACTGCATTTGTGTGTGTTGAATGTTGTTAGTTAGGTTGTTTGTTGGCTGTATGAGACTAAGCTAGATTAACATTAGTTATACCATGGTCTGGGTGAACACTCGATTCTGATTGGCTGCAGGGTGTCCGTTAAAAAGTGATAGAGGACACCTAGTAAAGTAGTTCTGGTGAAACTGCCTGTTTACCATTCGAAATTAATAAATAAATGCGCTGCCCACAACAGCTGTGAGTAACCATAGCAACAGGCAGTCAAAGTATCTGTTAACAATTTTCTCTATCAAAACAAACATCTAACGTTAGTTATGTAGCATTCTTACATTCTGCTAAGAACCAGTCATATGACATAGACCACAAACAATGTTAGTTATAACTTTTACTATCTGTTACTGTCTGTTTACTATCTGTTTTCATAGGCGCACACCGCCTCTTGTTCCTCTATCTTCCACAACTGTTTATCTCTGTATTGCTGCTTGTACAGGTAGCCGCGAGCATCAAATTCTCGCCCGCCCCAGCTCGAGTCTGTCTCGCTCCGGCCGCCTCTTGTTCCTCCATCTCCCGCAACTGTTTATTGCTGTATTGCGGCTCGTACAGGTAGCCGCGAGCATCAGATTCTCGTCTGGCCGGGCTACTGGTACGAAGCTTAATGCTAAATCCTGAAGTACCCCTTTAAACTGGGCTTAAACCTGTTTTTGTCTGTTTGCCCCTTAGACCTGATGCCGCTGGAAGAGGAAATTCATGAACTTGATGATGTAAAGGAAGAGAAACTTAAAGTAATAACTGTGGAAAACGTTTCTGACTGCTGGCTGACTGAAAAGACTCCCTCACAAGAAACCGCTGAAGAGACGGGGGGTAAACGTTATTTCATCTGCTTTCAGTGTGGAAAGAGTTTCAGCCAACACGAAAACCTTGAAGCTCACATGAAGATTCATAGTGGAGAGAGCGCTTACCCCTGCCAAGAGTGTGGAAAAGGTTTCTCTGGAAAGGGAAGCCTTAAAGTCCACATGAGAAGTCACACTGGTGAGAAACCGTTCATCTGCCCTCAGTGTGGAAAGAGTTTTGCACAGCAGGCAACGCTTAATGACCACAAACTAATTCACACTGGAGAAATGCCTTTCACATGTGATCGGTGTGGAAAGAGTTACAGACGTAAAATATCCCTTAATGCCCACATGAGGACTCACTCGAGAGAAAACTGCTTTAAATGTCTTCAATGCGAAGAGAGTTTCACAGACAGCAATGACCTGAAGAGCCATGTAATGACTCACATTGGAGAGAAGCCTTTCATGTGCGATCACTGTGGAAGGACTTGCTCAAGCAAATCAAACCTTGATGTTCATGTGAGACTTCACACTGGAGAGAAGCCTTTCACCTGCCCTCAGTGTGGAAAAGGTTTCAATGAAAAAGGGACCCTTAAAATCCACCTAAGACTTCACACTGGAGAGAAACCTTTCATATGTTTTCAGTGTAACATGAGTTTCACATATCGAAGAGCCCTGAAGCGTCATTTGCGAGGTCATCCTGGAAACAGCAGCGTTATGGTTGGTCTACCGATTCCAGAACGTGTCCGAAACAAAACGCCCCTAATCTGAATCTTGACTCTGGAGGCTTCCTAAAGCTCAGTAAGTGTACACATTGTAAGCAGAGTAACGATGTCAATTTAAATGCCTGCTTGATGATGAAACATCGGAAGAACTCGTTACTCAACCCGAACCTTCATTGCAAAGGTTGACTCGAGCAGGACATTTTTCAGCGATAAGTTTTCACTCAGTTTGTCATCCATTAAAATGTTGCAGTGTTTCTCCATCCATGTTGAGTCCTTCTGGAGTGATGAAGCAATCCATTTGGTTCAAAGCTTGTTTTATGGGTAATCGCATTTAAAACCTGGTTACAAAATCACTTTATTATAGAAGATGTTTGAACTGCTATACTGAGTCATTATTGTCTTTTTTTTAACGTATGTTTCATATACTAGTATGTAATCAAAGCTATAGATTGTGAATTTAAACATTCCTCGTAGCATAGCATACAGCTATCCGATGAGCGCGTCATCTTTTTTTCATTATTTTTATTTTACAATGCATTACATTGTACACGTTTTGTTATTAAAAGAACCATGTAAAATGTGCGTTTCTTATTAACATTTTATCCATTTAAATTACAGAACCGTCGCTATGTTTTGTGTGTACTTAGTATAAATATGAATTGGTTAACTTGTATAGACATACAATTTTGATTAAAATACACAATACAAAATTAATTCAGCTGAATTATGTAATAGATTTAATTTGTATTTACACAAAACAACAATCAAAATGCACTTAGGTTTTGGTCATTTATTGAGCTTAAATACACAACACAAAGCAGCTTTAAACAGACATACTGTGGTGTGTATTAAATTTCAGACTGATCTCATGAAATGGCGTATGTATGCCACACCAATTCGTATTTCCATTTTTGGTGCGCTATGAACACGCATAATCGCTTTTCAGCGCGTTTATGAACGCCATTGACTTAACGTTACATTATATATAACTTACCCCAACCCCGTCCCTAAATCTACCCGTCACTGGGGTTAATACCATTTATGAGTCTTACCCTACCATCCGAGGAAAAATAATATCGCTCCCCAGATGTAGATCTACATTTTGCTTCATTTTGCTCGGACATTTAACAACGTGTACATACACGCAGAATCATTCGGACATTTAACGGCATATACATACACGCGGATAGCTCAAAATGCGTATAGATACTTGACTTGAAAGTGGTGTGTATGTTTACGCTAAAGTTATGATGTCATGTTGTTAATTTCCAACATACTTTTGTGATTGTCCTCTGGCTATACCGTGTGAAGATTGAAAAATAATAATGTTAGCTGTGTTAAAATATTTAATGCACTGTAAGGTTAAAAGATTTTGAGAGAATGGATTTTTTAGGTCCATCCTTGAGTAACCGATAGATGCGGTGTCTTTTACTGAATGTAAAGTCAAATCTTTAGTTTGAAGTAATTAATTTTTATTTATTTAATATAAAGTAATAAGATTTCCTATCATTGTTTTAATGAGATATACTAGTTAAGCCTATATTATTAGTGTAGAGAATTGCATATGCATAGATCCGCTATCTTTATTTGTATTCATTAATGGTCCAGTGGTTTATTTTTTGCCAAGCATGTCAGAGGTTCTGGGTTCTTATCCGCACTCGTATAGTTATTTTTCCCTGCCCCTTCAACATAACGCACATGGATAGGGATGTCCCGATCAGGTTTTTTTGCCCTTGAGTCTGAGTCATTTGATTTTGAGTATCTACAGATACTGAGTCCCGATCCGATAATAAAAAAAGAATAAAGAAGAGTGAAAAAAAACAGATCCAGATTCCAGGATGTTCCTTATTTTTTATTTAATTTGCCTTATTTTAACATTTGACAACTCAGGTTTGTTGTGTTAAAGGCACACTATGCACTCTCTGGTTTTTTTGTAAAACAGTGACCTCTAGAGCCGCTGTGGTGTACTTGCACTGTCGTAAATAACCGTTATTCCCCTGTTACTGCATATACTGTCAAGTGGTAGACTGCTTTTTAATAATTAAGTTGCCTATCGCGTTTGCTGGCTTATAGCGTTTTTACATGATTTCTGCAAAATCAGAAGTAAATAGCCTATAGTGTATAGGCTACTGTATAATTTCATTCATGTTTTTTGATTGTAATGTTAAAATTACAAAATGTCAGATGACATCAATCAAATGTACGTCGCATTATTTCATAACATTGGACGTTATGATTTAGACATGATTACAATTTATCATAATAGCAAATTGTGTTCAATTATTTACAACCTCTAGGCTTACATATGTCCTAATAATTATGTGAGATATTGACTATGTCCTCATGGTAATCGCAAGAATCAACATCAACAGCGTCAAGATTTGATTGATTCATAATCAACACAATTTGAAGTTACAGTCGGGAAGTGTACTGTTAGTCAGATAAACAGTAACTTACACACGTCATAAGAAATCCGAACCAGACACAGGACTAAAGATACGTGATAAATACACATCACAACACCTGAGTTCAGCTGGCAAACTAGCTCTTGTGGCAAGCTCGGCAATAAAACATAACGGAAAAAACAACAAGACTAAGAGAAACGACTGTTTTTAGGAAGTCTGCTTAAAGCTCTGGTAATCGAAAGCTATAGACATGTGAGAATTATTGAACTGGTCTTATTATCAACAACGGATGAATGAACAGCACCGTAAAAAATTACATACCACAAGCCAGTGCAGCAACATACAATATAGAAACAACTAGTATACAAATACAAACAAGTTTATAAATAAAAGATTTACTTACAAGTCCATCAACAAGATCGCCAGGTCAGCATCGCAGTTACAATCCAGTGCAGCTTTTAAGCTCGCGCCAACGAGTGAAAGCCCGACCGAGTGGACTCTTGTCCGGTTTCTAGCACGGTCCGATTCTCTTTCCCTGTTTCGAAAGTAGCTTCATACAGTATGATGTTGTTGATGCGTGTGACGTCGTTGCCGTAAACCATTTCGTGATTCTCACGCGCTGTGTCAGGGGCGCCACTCTCAAACTTGCATGGCTGGTTTTTCCGGCGGCGTCCCCCCCAAGCTTTCCTACCAGGATGATTCGCCCTACTATGACTTTGTTAACCACCAAAACGACTTTGAAGCTGTTATATTAAGGTACAGATCTTGCATAGAGTGCCTTTAAATATAGGCTTTTTCTTTCCACCTCTTGAAAACCCAAGCTTACATATCTCACAGTTTGCTATGGCAATGTTGTCATCAACTTTATAATGTTGAAGGGTAATTCCACCTCTGGAAAGATGAATGTATATTTAAAATGGGTAATTTATGTAGAAGAAATGTGAAATTATTTTTGAATTTAGAGCTTTCTACACTGAGAAAAGACAGAAAATGTATTTTTGGCTTATGTGGATGAAAAACATCAACTCCCAGAATGCCCTTGCTTCGCTGCCCTAGGAGGCCACGCCTACTGGTAAACGCGCAGTAGGTAAACAAGACTAGGCTAGTGAGGCTCCGTGATGAGTCTGCCTGAAAATGTATTTCGAGATCGCCCAAAATGTCCGGGATTCGGCTTTTGCGTTCTACAGTCATCATTCGCCATGATTACTGTGGCGAGCGGAACAAGTGAGGGCCGTATGGACTGGAGAATGACGCGAGTCATGATTACTCTGGCAACGGGGACGAATGAGAGCTGTGTGGACTGGAGAACGGCGAGAGTCATGTTTACTGTGGCGAGCGGGGACGAGTGAAAGCTGTGTGGACTGGAGAACGGCGCGAGTCATGATTACTGTGTGATTCTTAGCAATGTTAAAACCCACATCAACAGATCACTTCCCAGACAGCAAACTGACATTGAATCAACGTGGAAACGACGTCTCTCATGACATTGAAACAACGTTGATTTTGCTCATTGAATTAACGTTGAACCAACGTCAGACGCGGCATTCTTTTCACGTTGATTTCAAGTTGATTTTCTGTTAGTTTTGAAAGAATGGTCTGACGTTGGTTCAACGTTAATTCGATGAGCAAAACAATGTCAGATCAACGTTGTTTCGATGTCATATTTCCACGTTGATTCAATGTCAGTTTGCTATCTGGGTTGTTTAGCGTTCATGTAAACACTACATTCAGATTCAGCAATCAGAATTAAATCAGTTAGATTAAAACAAAAGTTGTAACTTACATGTAAACAATGCATGGCGACTGCAGAAAGCAAAAGCTGAATCCCGGACATCGATGGCCGGACATATCCGGGTTAAAGAGGATGGTAACACCAAGCTACAACTCAGCTTTCTCCACAGGACAACAGCCTGCTAGCTTAGCTTCCAAAAAAGATGTGTAATCCCAATCCTCCATAATGCATCCGTCTGCGTATTCAGTACCTTCGTCTATATTTTCAAAACATTTCTGCGGTGAAATCAAACGCACTGGCACTGATCTGTGATAGGTCTGTTAGCGCATTAGGTCCAACCCCCTATGGGCGGGTTTGAAAGGGTGAGATCTTGTGCTTGTAGTTTTTCCCAAAATCCCCCTCTCTTACACTTCCGCCAACAATGACGTAAAATGACGATTTTTGCGTCATTGTAGGAGGAAGTGAAAAGGTAAATAGCAGATTTCTCTCGTCTCAGGGGAAAATGAGAGTGTTGCACGACCATTCAATAGTATAACTGAGTTTCTAACAATGGAAAGCTTAATGCAAATGGGTGGAGTTGCCCTTTAAGCATAAATATACTGATAAAAACACTGTCAGGAGTATTGGCAGCAAAATAGACCATAGAATATTTTGTTCTGTATTGAATATTTCGTTCTGTATTGACAGGTGCAATATTTAAAAATTGATAATTATGTATTTATTTTTAATCTGAATGTATGTCAAAACCTAGACTTTCAACCATCAAAATGTAATTTATTAAGGTATTCGTGTAATTTAACAAATAAACAACTTTTCCTGTTCTATTTTACCTGGAAACACTTCCAACACTCTTGCGTCACGTGAAAAATAGGCCTGGCGCGCGTGTCACTCAGGCAATCTCTAACCTGTTAACATGGGAGCCAAAATAAGAACGGACACGCCACGCAGCTGAGATGCGCCACACAGCCAGTGTGTCACTACATAACTATAGATGTGTTAAAAAATACTGAGAATATATACACGTAGGCTATATCCCGAGTCCTGATCGGGAGGTAACATCCGATTCCGATCGAGTCTGAAACCACGTGATCGGGCCCATTTTCCAATCATTTGATCTGATCGGGACATCCATACACACGGAGTGTTGCCTTGACAACATTTTGGAGAGAGAATGGCAGCGGGAGACTCTGAGGACACATCTATGCAACCGTATCAGTTTGAAATGGAGTTGCACCCGGAACAAGATGACGGCCGCAAAGAAGTTTGACAATTAAGGCTTGAACAGGATGTTTCTGCTTTCGCTCCTCCGTGCGAGACGCGAGACTGGCGCGCGCCACACGGTTATTTTCTGTCTTTTCTCGGTCAAGAGGGCACCAAATTCAAAAATTCTTTTACATTTCGACTACATTTATGATCCACTGTCATTAAAGATGAATGTTGA